TATATAATGTGTATAATTGATGAAATTTAATAGTTTTTATTATTGAACAATAATAATAATAATGGAATGTGAACCATCGAATGCTCGTGATGTAGATTTTATAGTTATCAGTTTTTAAAATGTATGATGGTTTCCCTTATATCTTCAAACATTTTAATCCTTGATGAAATCAAACTGTATATTGCTGTTAAACTGAAGCCGAGCAGACCACCAATGCCGCAACTTCTAAGACCACCTGAAATATTTTCATTTTATTTTAATTTAATAATTWTAAAATAAATATTTAAACTSAAACAAATAAATTATTATGTATACTCAGACCTACAAAGATTATATATATATATTTAATTATCTCAGTGGTTCCCAAACTTATTTCCACGGTGCCCTTTTTTTGGACCGACTATAGACACTGTAAATATCACAAATGACTGGAGCAAAAAWTCTCATAAATGACGAAATTTTGAAAAAAAAAATATTTATACATTTTAAATTATTTATTATGAGCCGTAGACCACGGTGCTCTTAGAAAATGCTGTGGCGACCCTAGTGCACTGCGGTGCACAGTTTGGGAACCACTGATGTACATATATATTTGGAATTAAGGCATTAAATACTTAAGTCATTAGCCTGGTACTGTGTGAGGGAACATTTAGTTGGAACACGTTTTGTGTGTACGGCAAGGATTTGTTGCTAAAAATCTAGAAAGGTCACTCATCTGGGAGTTTGTAACAAAGGTCGGTACGTACATTCAGAACGTTTCTATAGTTAAGCGTACGACCACACCACTCTTGGCCACAAAGATTATATTATTAGTCGAAATAGGAACGAATAGATGTGGCTGTTTGGATATGGGATAATAAATTTGACGTCAAAAATAATATTAAATCATTCAATAAAAATATAAGTAAGAATTAAAAAACTAAAATAAAATATAAAAATAGATATTTATATTATAACATAATCATATATTTATATTTATTATAACACATTAAAAATTTATATAAATTATCAAAAATTGTTATTTTTATTATGTTAGTATAATAAAAACTTTAAAACGAGTTTAATCAAAATGTTAA